TGGAGCAAGAGGCTGAATTTTCTCAAAATAACAAGATTTTCTTGACTTAAATAAATTTTCTTAGATCAACACGCAGAAAAAAATTTTGTTAAAATAACTTAAGATATGTTATGGTAACAAATGAATTTGTTAACATAGGGATAACAAATCATATGTTAAAATAACAAAATTTAGATTATGACAAGTTATTAATATGTTATATCAACAAAACAGTTTTGTTGCTATAGCAAAATCTTGAAGTTGATTCGACAAAATACTTTAGTTGGTATAACAAATTTTTTTGTTGAAACAGCAAAATTATTCTATTAAAATAACAAAGAGAATTTGTTGGAGTAACAAAGACAATTTGTTGAAGTAATAAAGAGAATTTGTAAGAATAACAATGAGAATTTGTTGAAATAACAAATAAATTTGTTACAGTCAATTTACATTTAAAAAGCAACAAATTAGTTTTGTGATAGCAACAAAATGATTTTGTTAGAGCAACAAATTTACTTTGTGATTTAACAAACTGGTTTGTTAGTACAACTTGAAACATTTTGTTAATGCAACTAATGGATTTGTTGCTATCACTATACTCATTTATTACCAGAACATATTTTTCAGTTATCCCGTCTTTTGTTATTTCAACAAAATCGTTTTTATGCGTGAAGATACGTATTTCTAATGCAAGATGATTAATTTTGTTGGAATAAGTGAAATTTCTTATGTCAAAAATAAAAACATTAACAGGACTTGAGGGAAAATGTTTTGAGAGTTGATCCTCTGCTAGGTGGACTGGAGTTTGGTCCCAAGTTGAGTGGCTGAGCCAATACAGCAGACTCTCTTCAGCTTTAGAGACTAGAGTAGAGTCTCTGGTGTATTATTGTATATATATTATACAAGTCCATGCAGCTGAGCAGAAGTGAGATGAAATAGCAGGGTTTGGTGGTTTAGATGTAGAAATGTTGAAGAAGGCGCGGTGAAGAGCGAGCAAGAACGATCTGGGTATAGAAGAGCGAAGTGAAGAGGGGAAACGCGAGCCAGCTCACCTTGGCGCCCATGGTATGCGCCCACTGGCGTCACCGTCAACGGCGTAGCCTCGTTCGCCTTAGCTTTACTTGTCTTATGTCTTATGTCCAGCTCGTTGCTCGTTATTACATCCTATCCTGCCCTGACTAATCGTTTATCTTGTTTTCATAGTAAATCAGGAGAGTGAGTCAACAATTACTTAAGCCGCTTTTTTCCTCGACACTTATATCATATGGCTGATGTTACTTTAAATTAACCGCAATTTTTATTTGGAGTATGTAACGCCGTAATTGTCTTCAAAAAGAAGAAAACAGAGTAAGAGCAAGACAACTAACAGACATTTCATCGCATCGTTGCTGTTATGTGCAATGTATTATATCCACTTGTCCTCTGATGTATTATACTCCATTGCACATTAGCATCATGTTCAAAGTGCACTCCATGCTGCATAATATCTAATATTGTATGCTTCGTGGATCAGTCAAGCATGGAAATAATTATTATGCTGTGACAAATGAAAAAATTCTGATAAGAATCCAGCGAGACCATAAAAATATTAATAAATATATTTATATAACATTGTACTTGCAAGTGAAGTATCGGTTTTGGTCGGTAATTGTTCTACGCTGCTATAATATAATAAGCTAATTACTAATTCACGATGTGCTGATAGTCTTCACTGTGTTGATTGTGGTGGTATATTAGCACTAGTAAACTGAAGAAAAAAAATTTACTTGAGTCAAGTAAGTAATTTTGAAGAATCTTCTTTATTTGAGAAGAAAAATTCGGTAATTACTTACAAGTACGTGGGTTCAATCACATTTTGGGCCATAACTAGGAGACAAATTAATATTTTTTATTCTGCTTGTTTTTATTGCGCATTTGTGATTAAAAATGCCGTGGAAGAAAAAAATAAAGATTTCGATAGATTTTTTGCCTTCAAAAATTGGAAAAAATTTTGGCTCTCATATTTTTGGATAAAATTTATATTTTATCTTTTTTTGATATACTTTTTTTTTGAAAAGTACATAAAAAAACAAACAATTCAAAAGAAAAAGTTGAATATCACAATTTTTTAAAAAATTTATAAATTTGTCAAAATTGTGATAATTAACTTTTATTTTTTTTTAAATTGTTTATTTTTTTATGTATTAAAAAAAAAATATTTCAATAAAATCAAATAGAAATTTGGTCCAAAAAAATGAAAATTAAAAAATGTTTGACCCTCTCACTTGTAAATATTTACCTAAATATGTACCGAAAAATTAGCATCTTTAATTTTTTTCAATTTCTACACGTCAACTTTTTTTACAATAATTTATTTGTTACAAAAATTTTTAAAATAATCAAATATCAGCTAAATTAATTTTCATCTCTCTTGTTTTTGGATAAAATTTCTATTTTATCTTTTTTTGATATATTTTTTTTTGAAAAGTAAAATAAAATTCTTCAAAATTATTTTCTTGTTTCAAGAACTTTTCATCTTTATTCAAGTTAATTTTCAGTCTACCAGTAAAGTGCTAAAGAGTACTTTCTCAGCGTACGAATGAAGAAAACTAATATATACTTGAAGATTAACAAAACAGTACTTAATACACACATTACTGTGTCAAGATATTGTATATACATATGCAGACGAGTGAATAAAAAAGTTTAGTACTTGAATATGCAGCAACGTTGACAGAATATTGAAGCAATAACATAATTTGCATCTTTGAATAAACGTGGATGAAATACTTTTATCTTTCTTCATCTTAATATTGCTGCTCATCAATCTGTTTTTGTGCTTCGGCATCACATCATCAGCATAGTCATCGATTGCGCACACTTGGCCTACGTGATTGGTCTCTCACACGTATTACATAATGTGGATATGATATATTGGTATATATCTTCTGCGCAATGCTGAGTAGATAATAGATCTTACATTATAAATTATAAATTTTTTTCTTCACTAATCTTGTGTTATTAAATACTAAATACTTTTTAATAATATAATAGTCATTTTATCTAATAGTATTACATATTAAATTTGTTTTTTTCTTTTTCAGTAGATTTAAAATTTGCGACAAAAAGTGCGAAGACTATAAATAAACATTGAATAAGAAGAAATTATCTAGAATGATTATATTTTTTTTTTTAACTACGGATATGAATCAACATTTAAGTTGTTGCTCGGAAATCAGACATACTTGTACTTGTCTGATTGATGTAAAAAAATGTAGGAGTAGAGTGCGGAGCGTGGAGTATGATGTCTTGAGTATGATTGGCGGGAGTGAATATTATGATGTCGAGTAAGCAATATAATGGCAAAGGATATAATATATAGTGAGCATAGCAGGTGTAGCGGGAACGCGTGCTGAAGGAATGCGTTTCCTTCCTGTTATGATGTTGCTACTAAACATGGCCTTGTATTGTGGGATCCGCCAGATTCAGATGACGTACTGGCAATCAATAGTATAAGGCATTGTTGCTTCCGTTTACCTCTGCTACTTTTATTTTTATATTTGGCTATGATATTGTAAAAAATTTTTCAAACTAATCTGATCAATTAATCGATCGGATAGAGATCGATAATTACCAATAGAGCTCTATTGGTCTATTGGTAATTATTGGTGGACAAAATAAAACTGCAGCCGGCGGTCCGTGGATTATGATATCGGAGATTTAATAAAAGTATAAATTTAGGTTTCGATTGGCTAACTATTGGTTTGGGTGGAAGTAAAACCTTGACACTAAATTGACTCACCGCCTCTTTGTCATGTGAAATTAAATTTATTATTATTGTTTCTTTTTTATGTTACGTTTAGTAGGAAATTTTAAATGCGTACTCTGAAAAAAAAATTAACTTGAATCGAGAGAAAAATTCTTGAATTAAATAATACTAGCAATTTTGCAGTCACTATGTGACTGCCGTGACTTTTTAAATATAAATAAATAAAATTTTGCTTTATTAAATAATGACTGTTGAATTGCACTTTATTTTCTTAAATATTGAAGTTTTTAAGGATATAAGCTCATACTGATGTTACACTCATCAAGAGCTTTCATTTAAATACCTACATGCATTTTTGATATATTTTTCATATATACATATATATAATATATATAAATATATAAAAAATTGATGTGGGTACTCAAATGAAAGGTCTTGATGAGTGTAACATCGGGATGAGCTTATACTTTTAAAAATGTCAATAGTTCACAAGATACAAGGTCGTTTCTTAATTATGTTAAATTGCACTGTACTTTTTTAACTATTGACATTTTTAAAGATATAAGCCCATCCCGATGTTACACTCATTAAGAGCTTTCATTTGAGTACCCACATGCATTTTGATATATTTTTCATATATACATGTATAATATATAACATATATAAATATATGAAAAATTGATGTGGGTACTCAAATGAAAGGTCTCAATGAGTGTAACATCGGGTTGAGCTTATATCTTTAAAAATGTCAATATTTCACAAGGCTCAAGGTCATTTCTTAATTATGTATCTAGAGATAGAGCATCTTCGAATGCAGCCTAAATACTTATCATCATAAATTGAATATTTGTGAGAATGATATGAAACCTTGAAAAGGCACAAATTATCAACATGATTCTGGACACAAAATTTTTCTTATTCTCTTAATAAGATAGATTACTTAAACCAAGAAAAATTTCTTAGTTTAAAAATGTTTTTACCTAAATCAAGAAGATTAAATTCTTTATAATTATTTACTTGATTCAAGTTAATTTTTTTTTTTTGCGTATACAAGTAACGCTGAAGACATACTAAGAGAATAATTTTAAATGTTAAATTTATCACGATGATAACATTGTGTTAATAGATTACCTGATGCATTCTCGTTGTAATAAATGATTACACGAGAGTCACGATGTCAATTGGTATAATCAGAGGTTGTATAATTTAATATAGCCACGGCGACGACGGCGACTCATTTATCATCATATGCAATTATTTAATGTGATAATCATTACATTACATTAAAAGCCACTTATTGTTAAGGATTTTATTTTATTTACAACTTTTTTTATCTTTTTCAGGAAACCACTTGGTGTTAGTGACAGACCCGGAAATTGTTGAGGATGCCTATGCATTTGATAATCCGTGTTTCAAAGACGCGACACCCGCGCAAAACCGGCAAATTGATAGGCCGCTGTCAATCATCTCAACAGAAACTCCGACCAAGGATTCAATGAAATGGTCTTCTCCTTGGTCGTCTCTCGGTCTTGGCTCGGGAAACAAATTCGACAAAAGAAAAACTCTTGACGATTCTTGTCTCGGCGTAAGATTTATTTCTTCTTTTATATTAAATTTAATTTTAAAAAATCAATCGCTGTCCATCAAATAAAATAGATTAGATAAAATAAAATGAAAATTAATTTTTTTTTTATGATAGTTTCATATATTTTTTATCACTAAATTTTAAAGAAGATAACTCTAGTGATTTGATTGATTTGATCAGCGTGCAGATTTCTTAAATGAACAAATTATTTAATTAGTAACCAAGCAAATTAATTAATTAATTAATCTGATGATTTAATTTTCAGGCAAACGCCACGCGAATTAGCGTGATAAGTTTGAGAAGCCGGGATTTTACAGGACTGGGTTTCAATGTGTGTGGAAACATGAGAGAAGGTATCTTCGTTAAAGACCTGCTCCATCGCGGTCCCGCCTCAGAATCCGGTCGGATTCATCCAGGTCAGTATATCGTGACTTAGTCATTGATTAACTCCAAGGCGAGGTTTTCTCAATGTGTGTACTGAACTGCAAGCAAGCAACCAAGCGATTGTATGTGTATGAATATGCCTGAGTTAAGAGTATTTCTTCCATTGCATGTAATGCGGTGAAATCGTCCGCTGATATAATAAGACGCGTGTTAAATACCATTTAAACACTGCGTTTGATAAATCGGGCGCAGTAAGTAGAGTAAATCGCTGTTTTAGATTGCAAAGCCTTGCCGTAGATTCATAGCTTCTCTATCTTCAGAATTTAATTACTAGTATGTACTTATAGAGATTCCATGATTCTTGATCCTCCGACAAAATATCCTGGATAATACAAAATATCTTAAATAATTTAATTTTTTAGTAAAACAATTCAAAGCAATAAATTTGAAAAAAATTATCAATTTTATTTTAATTAATGGCATTTCAACAAATATTCGTAGCCCATTGATAAAAGGATTTGTTTATATTTAATAAGCTTTATTTACTGTTAATAAATGATTTTTTAATAAATATTTATTAACAGTTAATAAGTAATTTATCAAGGACAATTTATAAACTGTTAATAAATATTTTTTTAAAATAAAAAGCAAAAATAGCAATTTTATTTTGACACTTTTTATGACCTATAGCTGGAATACATGATAATAATTAAATTCACTAAATAAATTGACGTTTATAATCTTTAAAAATATAAAAAATAATTATGAGCTGTGATAGAATTTGGTATTTTACAACAAACATCATCATAATGTAATATAATTAATGCAAACTAGCAACCTTGCAGTCACTGTGTGATTGCCGTGACTTGTGAACTATAAATAAACAAAAATTTTGTTTGATTAAATAACGACTTTTGCACTGTATTTTCTTAATTATTGACATTTTTAAAAATATAAGCTCATTCTGATGTTACACTCATTAAGAGCTTTCATTTGAGTACCCACATGCATTTTTGATATATTTTTCATAAATACATATATATATAAAATATATAAATATATGAAAAATCTATGTGGGTACTTAAATGAAAGGTCTCGATGAGTGTAACATCGGGATGAGCTTATATCTTTAAAAATGTCAATAGTTCACAAGATACAAGGTCATTTCTTAATTATGGATCTAGAGTATTATCGAACTAAAAAAAACCGATTTTATCATATGACTATCCTGGAGATAAAAATTTTTTTATTCTCTTAATAATATAGATAATTTATAAAGATGATTTTTGTTTATAATAAATTTACTTTCCTCCCAAATAAATATTTAATTAATGTTCAAAAACATTTATTAAAATTTAATAATTGTCTTCAAATAAATTAAATTATTAATAGTGTTAATAAATCCTTCTATCAGTGCGGGGATATTTTGTCGGAGAATCAAGACACCTAATGCCATTTCTAAATTAACAATTTTCTCTATTACAGGTGACCGGATAGCCAGCGTTAAAATCAGCTTCAGAAGCATGGTCTACGAAGACGCATTAACAATTCTCAGCTACGCTTCTCCTTACGACGTCGAGCTGGAAGTTGAAAGTGGCGGTAGCAGTTCACGACCTACAACTCTACTAAAGAAAACAGTCGGTCCAACTCCGTCACGAATTTGCCACCCACTTTACAGAAGCCAATCAATTCCTGAACTTTCAAAAGTCGATAAAAACTCAGCTAAGCGTCTTTTCATCGCCGATCCAAACGAGTCACTAGGCTCGAATTATTCCACGATGAACTCAACCTTAAAGTCTTCCAAGTCGACTCCTGGCAGCCATACGCTTGAGCGCCGACACGAGGAATCCAAGGGTAATAATAATCATTTCAAGTTCGGGATTAAAGTACTCCCCGTGCTGGATAATACCGTTTACAGGATTGAAAATCAGAACGAACATAATACAAATCTCGAGCGACACAACTCTCGTAAAACAGATGCTGAAAAAAATATAATAAACAGTAAGAATTTAAATTCTGTTGATACTAAACCCGTTAAAGACGGTAAAGTTACTGAGCGTATTCAGCAGCGTGAAAATACCGGATTAAAAGGTGGAGAAAGTTTCGATGCAATTGACAGTAAATTAACTAATCAGAGTGATAAATCAACTGAACTCGTTGATATTCCTTCAGAAGTTCCTGCAGAAGTGCATAATGCTGCAATAGCAGCAAGAAGAAATCGCAAAAACAGCGCAGAGCTTCTTAAATCCCCCAAGATTATTACTTCTCCAGAATTTCCGGGTGATTTTGAAGAAAAGAGCCCGCAGAAGAGCAAAAGAAAAGCTCCAGCGCCTCCCGAGTCTCCAATGAAAGAAACTCCGGGCAAATATGAATCGTTGAAGCACGAGAGAGAAGATATTGATGATAAAATTGAAAGTATCACAGATTACACTGAATCTTTGAATGAATATGTTGTAAAAGTTCGTGATACTGGAGAAAGACACTCCAGATTGAAGGAACGTTCTTCTGAAAGACGAAGTTCTGAATCAGATACTGATAATGAAACACAGGACAGTTTTACCACAATAGAACTTAATCCCGCTGACATTACAATTCACCACACGCCTATACCTCATATTGTTGACGACGACGACGACGACGACGACGACCCCGATGACGGGTACAGAAAAGCCGCTAGCCTAGGAGACTTGTCCAAGTATGAAGCCAAAAGCTCTTCGACTCTAGAACGAGCTCAGAGTCTTGATATGACTGATACTTCATTAAGGAAACGCAAAACACCTTTGCCGCCTGAAGATATTACGGAAGTAACTGAAGATCTTACTAAGCTGGATGAAATTGACACGTTTGATAGGCGAAAATTGAAGAAATCTAGCGAGTGGGGAACTTTGGAGGACGCTATCTGGAATAAAGACTCTGATGATATTTCTGTGGAGATTATTTCTAAGCCGAAGATAAGAAAGAAGAGTAGCGGTACGCTTGAACGATCTAAATCTGCGGTGGAGATAAAGTTAAAAGAAGGCATGACTTCATTTAATCAGGTTGATAATAAGAATGAAGATTGCAGTATTGAGCTTTATAATTTACCGCTTAGTAAGAGTCTTACAAGGGATTTTATTGCTGCTGAAAGGTCGTTTAATCCTGATGAAGACAATTCTTTGGCGAGGATTGTTAACAATGGAGAGACGATTAAAAATCCGAGCTTGGATGAAATAGAATTGGATTTTAGACAAGCGAAACCTTTTATGGGAGAGCTAGAAGAAGATATAGCTGTGATTGATGAGAATGATAGTGAAGAAATGGTAATTAATTTGCCAGTGAGCGAGTCTTTTGGCAAAGCGTTGAGATTTTTTGATCTGCACGCTAGTGAAGAAAAAAATGATCTAGGTAAGAAGACTAACGGGGACGTTGATGTTTCTTCAATGTATGCTGGATTAAAGGAGGTGACTGAAGAGCCAATGAGGAAGAAAATAGTGAACAGAAGGTGTCCGTACTGCAACGGAGATGAACTCCATGACAAAAGTTGTTCTCTTCACAGTCGTCTGGTGTCTGGTGACACAGATTCCGGTGACAGTCTGAGTAATCGTATTGGCGATGAAGAAAAGTATTACAAAGCTATTGAGGATCAAATTGAAAAAAGAATGACTGGTAAAATGAATAAGGTTGATAATGAGGAGGAAGAAATTGATGATGGGTGTGATATTGGATCCAGTGTTACGATCAATAGCAATAGCAAGTCCCAGTCTCCGGGAAATGATCGGCATAATGTTAGCAATGTTAGCAATGTTAGTGTCTCTAGTGGAGAAAACAGTGAAGACAGTGGGCTGGTTGGTGAGTCTGGGGAGTTCAATCAAATTGACGCTAAGCCTACTGTCTCTAGTGTTCCAATAGGCACTCAAGATTCTCCGAGGAAAATGACGTACATTACTGAAATAAAAGTCTCTCCCAGCAGGGAGATCATTCGTGAGCCTGAAGATGTTGAGAGCAATCGTGATATACCTGCGCTTAAAGGTGAAGTCACTGTGACGTCAAATGGAAAGTCTATCCCTGGTAGAAAGCCACCCGTACCTCCGAGAAGAAGCGACGCTTCTAAAGCACTCAAAGATAAGGCTAATGATAAACAGGTTGTTTATGTTTCGGAGTATAAAAGTCCGAATAAAAATATTATTGAGGATAAATTGGATAGTAATTCTACTACTGGCAGCAAGAAAATTGATCATTGGATTTATTTGGGAGATAATAAAGAGCAAAATCCTTGGGGTAATGGATCCAGTCAACCACAATCGGTTACTAATATTGTCGTTGCTTCTGGTGATGAAAAAATATTCCACCAGTAATTTTTATATGGTTGGATTTTATGAATGGCAATTGTCACTTGATATATTGCATTTTATATTTTTTAATTATGGTATTTTTATCCAGGATCTAATTACTGTGAATCATAGGTAGTTTTCATTTTAGTTTTAGATAACAAGAGTAAAAATTATTTACACTGATAAAAGGATTTATTTATATTTTAATAAACTTTAGTAACTGTTAATAAATAATTTTTTAATATCGTAGGATTTAATAAATATTTATTAACAGTTAATAAATTAAATTATTAATAGCTAATAAATCCTTATATCAGTGTAGATTATTTTATTTTATTTTTAAATGTTATTACTGATCCGTTGGTTTATAGATACGCAAATACTGTTTAATTTATGAAAGAAGAAGCTGTGTGCCATAAAAAAAAGAAATCTATCGTGGCAATTGGTTTCAATAATTTTTCTAATTGACTATTTAATGAAGTAAAAGTTTTATTTAGCGCACTAAATTCTCAGTATTGCATTCACTGCTCATTAATATTTATATTTATAATTACATATGCATGTAAACATTTGTTGATTAAGTAGAAAAGCGAAACAATTATAGAGATGCTTTTTAAGCATGAATTTTATGGATAATTAAGATTTTAATTAATCGTAGTATTAATTTCTTTTAAACTAAATTTTATTTTAATTACCCGAGTTGAAAAAATGAACTTAGGTGAGCTTAATCAATTTTTTTTTTTATAGCAGTTAAGTTGATTTTTTCAACTCGGGTAATGTCAATGGTTTAAAATTAATGATAATCAATTGTCTGTTTCGTTTGTAAATTTTTTATTTTCGTAGAATAATTTAAGTTATGGTGCCGCAGAATTATATATATTTTTTTTAAAGGGCTGATAATTATTTTTTAATATTCTAACCGTTGATCAATTGTATATATTTATAAAAATACTCAGACTGTATAAATTCATTTTAATTTTAATAATATTGATAATAGTTGTAATAATTTAGCTGTTGAAAATAATAATAGTAATAATAATAATTATAATTATAATTATTAAAATAGAAATAAGTAAATTTATTTAATTGTAATGGGACAATACATTTAATTAATAGTATCCCAAAAATATATTTAAATGTAGAGAATATTTTTTCTAAAAAATGTCTAACAAATTTTAAATAAAAACAAATCAAAATATATTGACAATAATTATTAAGTAATCTTATAAATTATAATTATTATGTTAATCAATTGTTATTAAATAATATAACGTAACATTGTACATTTTTTGTCATAATAGTATACATTGTAAGTAATTGCAATTACCATTTATATAACAAAATAAAATTTATCATTTTCACGTCAATGCATTCTATCGACTTTTTTTTTTTTAATTAAATTATTATTATTATTATTATTTATTAATAATATAATAAAATTATTGATAATATTTATTAATAATTAATAAATTAATTCATTAAAATTGTTATTTTGTCTTTTCAGTTATCAAGTAAGTAATTTATGTAGAAGATTGTTTGTAGCTTTTAGTGCTCATTAATTTTTTACCGCACATGGCACAAATGGCTTTTTTGTAAGCGCACGACTGACAGTAGTGTGACCCGAGCTGGTGGACTTTTTGCCGACATATCCTGCAGGTTTCGAATTTAGCTGTGTAGGGATTGAATCGTGACTTAGCTGTCAGAGCTTTGTTTTCTCCGATTTTTCTTCCTCCACCTTCAACTGTGTTTCGTGCTCCAGATTTCCATGGGTCTGGTGTTGCTACTTTACCTAGTTTCTTCTCACACTTTTCACAGACCATTTTCTAAAACATTCAGATGAAAAATATTTTAATTACTGGAATTAGATATGATCTCATCAACATAAATAATTGAGTATAAAAGTAGAAAACAGCTGACTTTTTATTATTCTTAATTAAAGAAATTATATCAATATGAAAAAAACATTTTTTTAAAATACTCAGTATAATTTTTTTAATTAATTTAAGAAAAATTTTATAATTCTTTTATTAAATGAACTCTAACAAAAATTTTTAGAAAAAAAATTCCAACTACACAAAGTTTAAAAAATTATTAATATAATTTTTTAAAAATAATTTTGTGTAACTAATTAATTTGTCAAATAAAAATAATTATTAATTTAACAGGTATTTGATAATTTTAAGAATTTTTGTTAATTATGGCCAAAAAAAATTAACATGTAGAAATTTTAAAAAATTAAAAATTAAATTTTTTTTAAACAATCTTTTGGAATAAATTTGTTTGTTAAAAAAAAATTTTTAAATGATGGTGTTATGAAAATTAATTTAGCTTATCTTTAATAATTTTAAGAATTTTTTAAATAAATCAATCATAGCAAAAAAAATTAGAACAAAAAATTGACATGTAGAGATTAAAAAAAATAAAAAATGCAATTTTTTGGAACAAATTTTTTTGTTAAATAAAATTAAAAAAATCTCAATTTGTTTGTTAAAAAAAATTAAAAAATGATGACGTGACATGCAAATTAATTTAGCATATATTTAATAATTTTAAGAATTTTTTAAATGAATAAATCATGGCAAAAAAAAGTTAGAAAAAAAATTTCCATGTAGCAATTAAAAAAAATAAAAAATGCAATTTTTTAAAGATAATTATTTGGAACAAATTTCCTTTTTAAATAAAATAAAAAAATTTCCAAAAATCAGCTGATTTTAATCATTAAAATTAATGTCTTTAATTTTTTCAATTATAAAAAAAAAATATAGGTTATACTTACAATAAAATTTCTAAAACTCCCACAGATAAACGTTTAAAAATAACTAAAAATTTTTGTAAACTTCAATAATAACTTAATAAACAATTAAAAAAACAAATTATAATAAAACACAATCCCAATTATTAAATAAAAAAATTTTCACAATACCGTATATCCTGCTCCAAGTTTTACGATGTAAAATAAAAATATCAACAAAATTACTAAGCTTGCCTGCCCTCTACAGTCAAACTAACCAACTAAAAATTACCCACCGCAGATATTGCGCGCCAACCGAAGTTAAAAATAAACCCTGCAACAGTCTAGTGTCCTTGTCGTGTATATTATTAGTATGACTTCTATATTCTCCTGGAAGTACATAGTCAGCAGTCTCAGTACAGGTCTGTGGACAGTCTTTGGTCTGATAAAAAACGAGAGACATATAGATAGAGACCAGAATAATCGTAACAACCAATCGTGTAACAACTAAAATAGAATGGCGAGGAATGGGTTATTTTGATGTGATGTGATGTTGTGGACAAAAAAATCCAGTGAAGCAAGCAGATGTTGAGAAAGTATAAGTAGGGATTAACATCTTGAGCCCACATTTTTGAGTATTATATTGAGTATCCAGCGATCAGCAATTCAATACGGTTTGTAATTAAAGAGTGCTCTTATATACTTGGTGCGCTTAGACAAAGGATATGTCCTGGTGTATTGTGTGTCGTCAACCACTTATCGAGGTCATTAAAAAATCAAGAGTATCTGTTAAATAATAAATAACAAAAAAAAAAAAAAAAAAATAAAAAAAAATAAAAAGTCTCTTCGCTCAGAGGGTGGCTTGCAGTATGCGTAGGGTTTGTGATATTGGATTATTATGGCTGCGGGTGAGGCTGCCCCAACGAAGCCTCGTCAAGAGAAACAATACGACTATCTTTTAAAGTTCCTTCTGGTTGGAGACAGTGACGTTGGGAAACAAGAAATTCTCAGCGGCCTCGAGGACGGAGCTTCCGAGTCTCCTTTCTGCGGTGGTATATACACATACACATGTATTTATTTCATTGTTGCTCTTTTTATTATTATTATTATTATTATATATTATATTATACATATATTATTATCACTCTACCTTTGCCTTTTACCTTGAGGTGAAAGACTCGCTCAGTACAGTCTTACTTCTTTTTCCCTTTACTTACTTTTATTCCTTGTATTTCCTTTGGTCATATTCATAAGTACACTTACGCATAAATATTCCCACAGCTCGGTGTCATTGTTTACACGTACCACTAGAAATATCCACCTGTGTCGCACCTATCCGCTGACCTTGCTTCACTTATCATTATTTTTTTTTTTATATAAAAAAATAAAAGTATAATAATGTTTGTTTTATTTTTTTTTATTTTTATGTTTTAGCGTACAAAACTACCACTATTCTTCTCGATGGGAAGAGAGTCAAGTTACAATTATGGGATACCTCGGGGCAAGGGAGATTTTGTACGATAATTAGATCTTACTCCCGAGGAGCCCAAGGAATACTTTTAGTCTATGATATTACTAATAAATGGTCGTTTGATGGAATCGATAGATGGTTAAAAGAAGTCGAAGAGGTAATTATCTATATTATTAAGAGAAGAAAAATTTTGTGTTTAGGATAGTCATATGATAAAATGGGTTTTTTTTTAGAGAAATTTAGTGTCATTGCAAAGTTCTTGAATTTGTGTCTTTTCAAGGTTTTATTTCATTCGCAATGATAGTCAATTTATTATAAGTATTTAGGCTGCATTCGAAAATTCTTTATCTCTAGATACATAAGAAATGATCTTGTATCTTGAGAACTATTGACATTTTTAAAGATATAAGCTCATCCTGATGTTACATTCATCAAGACCTTTCATTTGAGTACCCACATCAATTTTTCATATATTAATATATA